ATGTACCAGTTTAATTTGTCCAATAATGATTGATATTGTTTTGTATGCGTGAAATAGAATTACGTGGAAATTTCCATGGATCTTTTTGGTGGGGCACCATCATATTGAGATCGTAAATACTGCTGACAAGTTTTCTTATGTCAGAAGGTCATCGACTTTTTAATAGCTTAGTTGACCATGAGCGAGATATATGTGCAGCTTTTTGTACAAGTTATCATAATATTAGAGTGTCGTTCACCACCTATAACTGGAAAAGTAGACGCTACCTTACTCATTTTTTTTCTGTTAAGCAACAGGTTGACAGAAAACGATAAAAAAATGTTTTGAGATAAACTGAAATAAACATAATTTGTGATGGTCGATTGAATCATTGAAATAGTCGATTGAGCCTTAGGCTTAGTTTCTGGTCTGCCGATTGGTGACTTTTACGGTTTTTTACTTTTACCTTATCAATTATACAATGGCAAAGTTTGAATTTGTTCCAGATTTCTTACTTCAGAAAATCCGCACTTAAAAAATTACGTGTTAATTATATTTGTTTTCAGAAATTATTTCATAAAGTGGTCAGAGGAACATGACTTTACTCTTTGTAGGGAGGTTCCTGTTCTTGAACCATTTAGGCATCCAAGACAAAGTAAAGAGAGAGGAGAAATCTGAGGTGAAATAGCAATGAGCTTAAATAGCATCATTTCACCAAAATTCATCTCTGTAAGGGACAGGCTTGCTCTTTTACTTGCCAAATACAAAGAAAAGATGATAAAGAAAAACAAGGTTCTGGCATCGAATGTGATGATGAAACAGAAATAGAGATAGCATTGTCTGAAATCATACAAAAAAGAACAGGCAGCTGATTTGGAAAGGGAAGAAAATTCAAATACCCTTACTAAAAAGAATGAAAATGATAAGGCCTCTGCAGAAGAAAGTAGACTAAAGGCCATGGAGCGCCTGGGGCAAACCAGAAAGAGGAATGCTCATACAAGTTGCTATGGAGTTACTAAGCCAAAAAGAAGAGGAAGTACCACTAAGGCTGTGCAAATCCTAAAAGAGAAGTTTAAGAGTAGGAAAGAAATCCGAAAGGAAGAAATTGAACTAAAGAAGAAAGAGCAAGAAAATAAGCCACACAGCATCAGATGCTTAAAGATCTGTAGAGACAGAACCAGCAACAATACCAGGATGTATCGAAGTTTAGTGTTCCAGTTCGATATGCCGCCCAGTAATTAATTGATACAACGCCTGTAGCCGCCGGATCTTCTCTAAACACGTGCGGTAGTTTTTCTCTAGACCAAGAAGACCTTCCCCATATTGACCGATATCATGGTTTGAGAACCAACAGAAGCTCTAAAAGTAAAAAAGTACGACTGAAGCGCAAGTTAAAAGCTTACCATGCGAGGAAAGCCACGCTGGCTTCGTCTTGGCTCAGTTGACCAGAAAGGCTTTGCCTTTGGGGTAGATGTGTGTCATTCCTTTTTGCGATGAAGAGGCGTGCGGCAGATGCCTCTACTGCAGTCCAGGGCAATTCCTATGCGCAGATCATATCAGTTTAGTTCATGCAGGAGGTAGATCACTTCACCACCCGGAAGTTTGGAGGGTGAATTGAAGATCCATAGAGCACAATCTCCTCCAGTCACCTTTTCAGTTATGTTGTGAAACCCGATTTCATGTGTACTCTGGCCGTTAGGCAATTTCGTTTGTAAGGACGTTGTCTTGTGGTTTAATTGCACAGACATCCATCTTTTTTTCTGTATATATCACCTCTATTCGATAACTTCACTTGATGAAGTTTTTTTCTTAAGTTCCATGTGCATTATGTCAGTGAGACCTGACCCATTTTTATACAGAGGAAAAAGCGAAAGCAGTAAGCATAATTTTTTTCTTGCAAGCATACATGTAATTTGCTCTATACTCAGAACAAAGTAAAGTTTATTTTTGGCAATTTTGAAAGAGTTGGCTGATTTAAGGGGTGTGTGATTTGTAGTCACCTGATTCATGTAGGATATTATATGCTCCTAGGATGGAAGATTCGTCCCATATCAGTTTGGTGGGTGTGTATAGACTACACTTCACAACATAGATCATGAATATGTGCGTGACATTATAGCTGTTGGTTTACATGGTAAGTAACTAACAGCAGTACAATATTTAACTATATTGTAAGATAGGTTGCCAAACTGCAATTACCAGTACCACTTTTTAACTATACTTATATTTAAATAGTTAGGTTACCTCTTCCAGGTAGGTCTTTGTTTCTGTTTTGATTGGTTTTTTCAATACAGACAGGAATCAATTAACAAATATTATGGAAGAATAAAACTATGGACACACTATGGTGTTTGTCTTTGTACAGGGCAGCAGCATCCCATCAAAATCAAATGTTGCGAGCATGAACCAGAAGCCATAACACTGGTCAGGAACGGTTTCTTGCCATCTACTCCAAAACAATCCCAGGTAGCCTTTGACCGTGGATCTATGTTCCGATACACTTTCTTAGAATGTAGAGTATCTTTAAAGTCAATATGTCAGGCACTGTAGTGGCTGGTCCCACCTGCTTCCAAGGTTTACGTAAGTATTCATCCAGTAATTTTTTACCTTATGCTCATGAATGTAATTTTTTTTCTTAATTTATACAATAAATAAATTATTTGTTTTCCTTTAGATTAAGGACATCTGCCGGCTCCTTGTTGGAGATTGTTTCTGCGAGTTCCGGTAAATGTCTAGCATGTCGAGTAATCTGAAGCATTTCAATCCTTCTTATGAGAATGATTATGAATGTCCTGCATGTCCTAAGGTTTGTGATGAGTCATCATTCAGATGAAATGTCTGAGTGGGTAATATTTACTTTGGGAATCTGGAATAACTATCATTATATAAGTTATGTTGGCATAATGAATGATATAATTTAGACAAGAAACATCATTTTGAATCTTTATGATTCTCTCTTTTTCCCAAAGGTCCTCTATAGCGTGGCAGCTGGTCTTAGCATGAATTATTCCATTGTTTTTCATTCATTTAGGCTAAAAAAATATTTAAACATGACATTTCTTATAAGATTTTGGCATCTGATTGTAGGAGAAGGGAAGTTTATTTATCTCTATTGATGCATTGTTTGGATGTGTCCGGAAATGCAGTGCTGGAAAGTCCTCAAATCATGGAGAGGAACTATTCATTAGCCAAGAAAAAGTGGATGCATTTCTAGCTAATTACAGCAAAAGACCAACCAGCAAGTCAACGGTGTGTGAATGGGAGGAATTTTTCTCTTACTTTGTGTGTTGTTGCTTTACTCTAACCTTTTGTTACCCATCAGTACTCATACCACTACTAAACCATTGCAAAGAGAGACCAAAAGTAACAGTTATGTTTGTTGCTTGTAATAATGATGTTAGTGTTGAATTATTTAAATATGGTACAGTTTGAAGGGCTAGTTACTTTGGTACTGGCTGTTTAACACTCTGCCCAGTATACATGTAACTCAAATGTATTGTTAGTTTGTTATGTTAACTTAATTTATAGGAACCTTTTGAATTGTCAGCTTCAAGAACAAGTACATAATCTTTATTGCAGCCCTCTCTTTTCATTAATCTTGTTCTATCTTTTTTTCAAATAAAGTTTTTCTCTCCTTTTTTGTAATTGATTTATGGTCTTTAAAGGT